TCAGATAAAAGCCAGCAAGCCCCAGTCCCAAGTTGCGGGAGCAACGTTGTTGGTAGCCAGGTCCTGCCTGCACCCTGTTCTGCCAGATTTCCTGACCTCGCCTGACTCCCTGCCTTGAACCTAGCTTCAGCTTTGACGGATGGCCTCAATACTGCACCCTCAACCTTGGACTGGACTCTGACCACACCTCACGGAAACCCACGGGACCAGCCCAGTTGCTTTCATTCCCTAAGGCAGCACCTCTGGCCCATGAACCGGATTAGGTCTGCCAAGTCTTGCTTTAACTGTTTTAATGGACCAAGACCCTGCAATGACCACCTGTGGGCCTTTTTTTTGCAAGAGATCCAGAAGGAGCGGACCTTTTCTGAGGTGGCTCCCTGCTTATGGAATGCTCTCCCCAGGGAGGCTCACCTGGTGCCAAAAACTCTTCTCCCAGGCCTTTGGCTAATTAAAGGCCTGTGTCACCTTTTTGGCCTAGCCATTGTATGCCCACCTGCCCTGCACCTGAGGTAATATATGATGGATCCAGCTCCTCTCCCCTGCCATAGGGCTTACAAGAATCTCAAGGTTATGCTTCAAAGAGAGTCTATACTAAGTTCCTCCCAACAACTCTTGACCTCACTAGCATAGGTCAGTGGGAACATAAGTGGTAACAAATTCGGACAGGGGGATGGAAGACAAGTTATACGATGAGAAGTTGAAGGAACTGTGTATGTTTAGCCTGGAGACTGATGAGATGGGGAGCATGATGGCACTCTTCAGGGATGAGCAGAGGGCAAAGATTTGTTTTCAGAAGGGGAGGAATCAGACTAGTGCTGCATTCACAAAACAGCTTATTTTGTTTCCCCAAAGTTTCCTTAATTGTTAGCTTCTTCATTATAATCAAGCTTTCACATGGCGTGAAAGCCACTTTCGGAGAACTAATAGAACATAGTGCATGCTTGTGTTATTTCATTCCCCACAAAATACCTTTTGCAGCCCCCTTAAGCGAGAGAATCGCAGGACAAAATTTGGGGCGGTATCCCAGCATAGTTCCCCCCTTCACAGGGGAACAGAAGCATGCATGTGTGGAAAGGGTGGGGGTGTAGGGGCACAGTCTAATGATGTGCATTGTTGTGTCACACCAGACCCATTGGTGTGAATGAAATTTAGTGTGACATGCCAGTGCATTGGTCAAAAAGCCACAGTTCCATAGCCCAACAGGTGCTGCAGAGTGAAAAGAACATTAGAAAATGGCACAGAAGTGCTAGCAGCATAATCAGGAAAACTAATGAAATATTGTCCATGTCTGAATGCAAATGGGCTTAAGTGACTAGTGGGCAAATTTTGGCTGAACGTTAAGGGAAGCATCTTGACAATATGAGTAGTTTGAAAATGGAACCAATTACCTGGAAGGGTAGTAAAAATGGAGAGCCAGCATTTGGGGGATGTTGTCACTGGGGATTTCTGGCATCAAGCCAGGGCAGTGAACTAGGTAGTCATTTGGCCCCGGCATTCTGTTCCTCACTTGTGGTTATCTTGCATGTATATTGGAACAGTTGCTTTGAGATATTACTGGACCATGTTTTGGAAGCAGCTGTGTAACATTACCAAACCAAATATTTCGAGCAGTGTTCTGGTACCAAGCAAGCTTTCCATTTTCTGTGGGTTGTATCCAGTACTAGTCATACGCAGGCTAATTGAAATTAATGGACATGATTAACTTAGGTCCATCAATTTCAGTGGGTCTGTTCTGAGTCAAACCTAGCTGGCAACAAATTGCAGAATATCCAGAATTTGATGGAAGCTCACGGACCTCACCAACTGCAAGATTCCAACCAAAGGCATTTTGGCTACAAAGCTATTCTTATTATTACAATTAGTCTATTAATCACATTCTAAACCACCATCTGTTTGACCCCACAAGGACACTAGCTGACATGTTCTGCACCAGCTGCAGCCTCCAGACCAACTCCAAGGGATAGCCTCATATAGAATGTTTCCCACCTGCTTTTGCATCCAGTAATGGACACTGCCATGTCACAGAGTTCACCTTGACCTCAAGAACTCCAGAAGGCCTGTCTTTTGCTGGCTTTTTCACCACCTCTGGCTTCTGTCCATGTCTGCCGTGTGTTTCTGAAACCCACAACAGCAGTTAGGAAATTGTGGGTGGGAGTCACAGCAGTGTTCACTTAACATAACATCTCTTTACTCTGCAGAGCAAAGAGACTCATGGAGACTTAATGTGAATCAGGTGTATTGGAAAGTGTTAAATAAATGACTCATCATAAATTAGTGCCCAACTTAAAAAACAAGAGTGCCATCTCATTGTTTTCAACAGCTGCACTCATAAACTCAGAGTACTTTGCTGATCCTTTCTAATTGGATTACAGGGGATTAGTCTCCCCTAAATTTGGAGGGCAGAGAAGAGGAAGTTGGTAAATGCCTGGCAAGAGTGGCTGTCTGTCTCTCTCCACTCATTGCAGTTGTCTGTTTCTCTCTAGAGATTGACCAAGGACCTGTGGCTCAGGAAACTTGTTCCACATAAATTGCCATTCTGGACAACCATTTAATCACTGGGCTGCAGTCTAAAGGAATCAGGATGAAGTCTCGAGTATCCTTGCTGTTCCTGGAGACAATCCAGAGCACCGAATTTACCATACAATGATCCACGGGGCTACTGCTCTCCAGTCTCCTGTTTAGTGCCATCCACATCCACACACCCACTCCCTGGTCACCAGCATCAGACACAGAGCCAGGAACCCAGCTTGATGCTACAGCCTCTGACTCAGTGCCTTGCTTGCTGCTAGACTCTGAGTTCACAATACCATTTGGGCTTCCTTCCTCTTTCATCCTCTGTGTAGTGAATGCATACCCCCAATCTGTCCTTATTTCAGATTTTTCCCATTTCCACTGACCTTTCCATTACTTATTTACCTTCTCAATTTCCAGCAGGCTTCACAGTGTGGCTCCGTGATTGTTAAATGCATTCCTTAATCTAGTTCTCTCTCTGAATAAATAACTTGGTCCAACCTAAGCTTTATTGTTTCTCGCCCCTTTTAACTTCATGACATTTCTTCATCACTTAAAAGTTGCCTTTAAAAAAAAACAAAATGAAAACTGTAACCTTTTCTTCCTGGACCCTTGCTAATAATACTCTGCCTTCTTAATCATTACATGACTCCTTTCCATTCTTTCATATGCATTGCTCCGCCATTTAAAAGCTCAAAGTCGCATTCTGCATCTTGGCCATTTCCTCCTCATCACATTGCCTGTGCTATATGGGCACATACCAATGCAGACATGGCTCTTCTCTCTTGCCTAAGCGGCAGTTTCTATGTATTTCACTTGGTGATTATAATTTTCATTGGATAGCCCTTGTAGTGAGCATGTGGTTGGGCAGAGCTAGGGATGGAAGAAGGCAGCGTTTTCTGTCCTCCAAAGTCACCGTGAAGAGTCAGCAGAAGAATGCAGTGGGATAAGGAATTGAATACTCCATAAAGGGCCTGCAAATATCTGCACATATAAATGAATTGAAATATGCACCAGTCAGGGCAAAGGTAACCACTTTCAAGATCCATTGACTCATGGAAGCAGCAAACACATGTCTCTGATTCAAATAAAACGAAGCTTCAAATTGTTCTAGCTTTGCCTAGATCATGGCCAAAAGAAGGCAGAAGATTTCTTTGGTAATGTCATAAGGCATTGTTTTCTGTTCTGCCCTGTATTTGTGACATGTAGCACTGTTTCCATTCCACTGCCATTCATTTTCCACCCAAAGGTATGCTATTTGTCTCACTTTCTGGAAACACAATACAAAGTTTAACCCATTACATATTGTTCTGCAGACTGAAAACAACTACTCTCAGTCTTTTTCCCTGCATCCATTTAATAATAATATTAACAATTTTATGATTTATACCCTGCGCATTGTTCCAGACATGGAACAAAGAAGCAAAGCTTTCCATTTGCACGGAAGCTCACTGCGCAACAGATTGTCCAATCAGTTGCACAACAAAATTGCACTGAGGCAAAACATTTTGCCAGCGGAACATGCTGCTAACTGACTTTAACATACTGCTACCTCTGATGCAGCCCATTGAAACGAATAGACCTAAGTTATTCTTGTCCATTTCAATGGGTCTACTCTGAGTAAAACTTAGTGAGAGTAAAGCACAACCCTCAGGATCCAAACATGCCATACACTTGGCTTAACAACTGCGTGCTTTCAATGCTCCTTTTTTCATAAGCTTTCCTCCCGTGTGTGTGTGTGTGTGTGTGTGTGTGTGTTATCTTTCAACAGATAAAATTAGACAATTCTTGCTTTCCACCTCCCTTTTTGCAGGCTACATTTCTTCCTTTATAACTCATCCCTGGAGAAAGGTTCATGACTGAAAAATCATTGCTAACTTCATTTTCCGTCTTCAGCGCACATTTCTTTCCCAGGGCAATAATAAGGAGTAATGGCCAACACATCTTGCAAGGCCTGCGGAAGGCAGCAAAATGCCTTTTGGTGTTTTCTTATTTGTTGCCATATTTAACTTATTTTAAGGATGCTAATTTGTCTTCCCGGCTTAGCAGTTTGTCTTCCATTTAGTGATCCTTTCCAGGCTCTCTGTGATGTGTTCAGAATGAAGTTGGCTTCTCCCCCAATGCGCCCCCCCCCCCACACAACAGAGAAATTAAAAGTGGAAACCTGTGACTCCAGCTCTTCTCTTTGAAATGGCTTGTTCAGCCAAACTGCATCCATATTTTTACTTCTGCAAAAGCCCCACTGACTTAGACCCATTTCTTTGAGAGTCATAGGACTTTGAGTAAAGATGTAGAAGATGGTGCTATTAGGGAAACAGAAAGCTGCCTTATATTGAGCCAGACCACTGGCACATCTAACCAAGTATTGTCTATTACAATAGCCTTCCTCAGTTCAGTGCCTTCCTTGTGTTTCTGGAGTACAATGTCCATCACCTCCAGCCAGCATTGGCAATGTTTAGGGATGATGGGAATTGTAGCCCAAGACATTGGGAAAGGCTGCAGCTCAGTGGTACAGCATCTGTTTTGCATGCAGAAGGCCCCAGGTTCAATTTCCTAGTCTCTCCAAGTGGGGGTAAGAATATTCACTTCCCAAACCCTGGAGATCTGCTGCCAGTCAGTGTAGGCAATACTGAGCTAGGTAGACCAATGGTCTGACTTGGTACAAGGAAGCTTCCTATTAGCATCTTATTCCATCTGCAGGGTAGAAGGTTAGGGGCAGGCTGGTCTACATTGTGTGGCAGCACCTCTCCAGTGCTGCCTTTGCCACTCCTATATTGAGATGCCAGGTTTTGCATACCAGCCTGTGTTCTTCTACAGAGCTAGGGCCCTGGTAATGGGTCCTGCTGCTCTGGTTCCTGTGCACTGATGTCGCCATTCTCTGTCACCCTGTGAGTACTTCCTACACCAACTTCCTACACCAACCTCTCCAAATCCCCAGCTTGTACCGGTGTATCTTAGTCCTAGCTACATCCTTCACTGGGATCCTCTTCCTCTTGCCCGTTGTCCTGCCAGTTCATGACAACAACATCATGTAGGACCTCTTTAACAAGTCAACCTTTAGCCAAAAGAACAAAACAGTCTCTTGGCTTTTAAATCAGTGGAGTGGAGGATAACCCATGACAGAGCAATTTGGGGGGCAGGAATGGCATACTGTAAGCAGAGAAGAGTTTTCCACCATGTGCTATGGTAGAGAAGGTGAATTGCCACTGGGTGTGTGAATGAGAACTTTACAATAACACTCTGTGTCTTTATTTAGAGCATTTGTACCCTGCTCCTCAGCCCAAAATGCTGACAGAGTAGCTTTCATAAAATCAAAACAGGACAGTCTTTAATAGCAAGCTTACAATCTAAAGCAAAAGCAAAAACCAAACAAAAAACCCACAAGGTAAAAGGAACAGGGAGGGGAGAGGAAAATAAAAACACAAACTCAGCCATCAGTTTCTAAACAGTTGTCCCTATATTAATTAGCTGGCACAATTCAGGGGCAGAAGGTGCCTGATGGAGCGGGGCCTCCAGCAAAGATGTCAAAACAAGACTTCTGCTTCCCATCTCTCCCACAGAGGCAGTCTGATGGAATGGCTGCCCTCAGGTGACAGTGGAGGGAGAGCAGGCCTGAGGGAGCTGGCCTGCCACAGCTGAGCTCATAAGAGTCCCATGATGCCTCCTGCATCCAGCAGTGATCTGGGTTCAGAGGTGGAGGCTGTAGGGGACCAGATGGAGAGCCAGGTCAGAGGTCAGAACTGACTGCAGAAGATGGAGAGGCCCTTGCACCTGAGGCAGTAGGACAAGAGTTGGGAATTCCATTCCTCCCGTGCTGCAGATGTGTGGGATTGATACATGTCACATGTCTGTGTTTACATTCCAGCACTGATTGTTGGAGTCTTGTGAGCGGAAATTGAGATATGCTGTTCCGTTCTGTATAGCTTTTGCTTTTGCAGTTCTCTCTCCGAGGAAGAAGGACAGAGAGAGAAGCCATGTTATGTTACGTTTGATTTTGTGCGCAATAAATTATGCTTAGATGTTACACCTGAAGGCTCAGCTTCTGTTTGAACTCTGCTCGTCGTGTGTTTATGTCCTTGGATATGGGTCACATCAGCGTGACGAGACATCGGAGTGATGACTCCCAGGTGATGCTGCTTGGGGGGGGGGGAGGCACCGGCCTGAGTGTTTTCACCCAACAACAAGAACTCCCAGAGGATTCACCCAGACCACAAGGGCACCTTTCCCTGAGCCAGAGTCAGACTCCTGAGGTAATGGGAAGTGGAGTTCAAACCACCTAGGGAGCAGCAGGTTGGGGAAGGCTGCTCCTAACCTTAAATTGCACTGTTTCTAGGAAGGTTAGTCTTGGAACTGTCCCAAAAAGTTCTCTCCATCATGCTTGACGCGTGATGGTCTATTCCCAAATGGACACGACCACTTCACGACACACTCTTTTCAAGATAAGATTATCGGCAAGGGAGAATGCTGCCCATCTTTACACAGCCTGCCAGCAGGGGCAGGGGATATTTCATTCTCCAAGTGAAAAGAAAACAGAATTGGCAGGGAGATAAAAGCTACTCAGTGTTCTTCAGAGTCTGTTTTGGAAACCCTGGAGAGTCAATAACAAGCGGGCATTAAAATATTTGTTTAAAATAATTTTGTTGGTGTCCCTTTAGATTTAAACAGGAAGCATCACCTGTCACTCTGTGGAGTTTCTGCACCCTCTCTGTCAGGTAGTGGAGAATATACAGCTGCCTGCTTGACAGAGGTAATGAATTCTGAGACAGGTGGTGTTTCTTGATTATGCGGCATTATAATTGTAGACCTTTTCTTGCGACGTCCTTGACAGTTCACTTTTATATTGGGAATGGCATGCAGATTAACTGATGTCGGGCTAGGGGGGAGGTTGCACCTCTTCTAACAAAAAGTTGAATAAAATTGCTAACTGGAAAGCAAGAGAGCTGAGGAAATGGTGGCTAGAGTGGGAAAATGCAAGGAATCTTTTTACAGACGTCTGGTAGTGTGCCAAATGCCAGCCATAAGAGGGCTTCTACTCGTGCAAAGTCACAACTGGGGGCACCCACTGTCTGCACAGCAAGAGTAGCTCCATGGGTTGAATCTCTGGAAGATGTTGAACTAAAGCTCCTACCATCCCTTATCATTGACCCAACTGACTGGGGTTTATGGGAGTTGGAGTTCACAGCATTATAGCGGATACTGCGTTGCCTTCCCCTGTCCTGCAGCATCCCAGGGAGCAAAATCATGGGAGGATTATTTCCAGCTACCCCACCCCTAGTCCTTGGAAGCCCTATAAGAAGTTGCTGCAGAAGAGGGACTATTTCTAGAGCCAAGATGAAACTGTAAAGCTCCCTTGTTTTTGCCGTTGGCCACTGGATGTTGCCTATGTAATCTTGTTATATTTATATTACTGATTTTTTTTGTATTTGCTATTGTGTTGTTTTGCTATGTTATTATGAAATTGTTTTTGCACTGTTTCCTTTTTTTATGCTTTATTGTGCTTAAACATCAACAAAAGAAAACCATACATTTACGTCACCTGTTATACGAAATACAAAGTTAAAAAAATAAATAAATTCCTATGTTCTGACTACATTTTCTTTAAGCACATCTAACTTCCCATCATCTCCATATTTCATTTGATATTTACAAACTTATTGCATAAACCTATCCATTCAATTTATAATAAAATATTATTTCTCCTGAGTCATTGTTTTTTACTTAGTACAGCTACAGAAGTTATTCAAAGGCAGCGACCGAGTTCATACTGCAAGAGTTATTCTTAAGATATATTTTGAAAACTTCCCATTTTACAATGAATGTTTGTTTTGATTTATCTTTCATTTTTTCGGATAATTGGGCTAGTTGTGCATATTCAACCAATTTTTGTAACCATTCTGATCCAAAAGGGATTTTATCACTTTTCCAATTAGACGCTATTAGGATTCTTGCTGTGAAAGTGGCATACAGAAAAAATTCTCTTACATTCCTCAGAATGTCTGGTCCTGTAATTCTGAGTAGGAAAGCTGGTTGTTGTTGTTGTTGTTTAAAAAAGACACCCTGAACATTTTTTAAAGTTCTGAATAAATATAATCCCAGAAAATCCTATTTTTTTTACATAACCACATATGAAACATTGTACCTATTTCTTCTCCACATCTCCAACAAGTACTAGATATATTTTTATACATTTTTGAAAGCTCCCATGGGGTCAAATACCAAAGATATTGCATTTTTTGAAAGTTTTTCCTCAGAGTGTATCATGCCGTAAATTTCCAGTTTACTTCCCGTAATTTCCCCCACTCTTTCAGTTCTATATTATAACCCAAATCCTGGGCCTGCACTGTTTCCTTTTGAAATGGCTTTGTTTTCTTTCTTGTAAGCTGCTTTGAGCATGATTTCTTTTTTTGGTGGAAAAGCGGCATACAAATAAAATGAATGAATGAATGAAATGCCAAGGTTTTGACTCACATTCACAGGCTGAAGACATGTGATTCGTGCAGAATGGTCTCATGTTCAGTCTCCAGGTTCAGGTTGGAGGGAGCCCTGGGCAGGCTGCCCACCTCCACCTGCAATCAATCTGTTGAGCATCAGGTTGAGCTTTGCATCATACCCACCCACCATAAGCTTATCAGACAGCACTGGAATAGGAAGCGGTGCTCAGCTCAGCAGCAAGAGGTGCTGAAGTGAAGTGCCTGCCGTCCCCTGCTCCATCTCTAGATGAACTCTGAATGTCTTTAGGCTGGGAACCAGAGGCATTCTGCGGTAATAAGGATGCTGGCTGCTGAATGCCAAGCAAACAAACAAAACTAATATTTTGCTCTAATAAAATGCTTTTACGTGATGGCAGCCGTGCATCAAGCCTTCCCAGTGTTTTCTGTTTAGGACATTTTAATGCATGCAATGGCTTTAGGGGGTAGGGGTGGAGAGGCAGTTCTTCAAGAAGCTCAGATTTTATTTAAAAGTTAAATGCTTTTGATAAAGAGCACCACGTCTCCTGAATGAACACCACTGACATCCCATGGGGGTTGTGCAGGACAATTTCTCCATAGATTGTTTGCAAAGGCAACTTGCATGCTGAATAATTCACAAAGTGCAAACACATTAAAAAAAAAACCAACCCCAAAAAACCACCCCCACCCCTAATTTTGGATTCTCTTCCATGCAATAGTTTTGCTGAGTTCTTTCTATTTATACATTGACAGCTGTACACTGCAAAGTGAATACTGTTTATAATTAATAATGTATGATCATTATGATGCTCTGTACGTCTTTTATTGCTTAAATGCTTCTCCATGCAGCTTTCGATCATCTATTTCTTCCTTCCTTCCTCCTCTTATTCTTTAGGAAGAATTCAGCATACGTTTTCCTGTATTGATGTGGAGATCCGCTTGCTGGGTTTAAAATTGTAAACAACGAATAGCGGCTTTTTTTTGGAGGGCAAAGCATATTTTGTTTTCTCTTAAGTTCTCTTAAGTTCTGATGAGCTTTCTTTCCAATCACTGGTGGAAGAGGGAAAAAAGCAAATCTTAAGACTGTAATCCTAAATACTATAGTCCAGGGCTGTCCAGTTACCAAGACACTGGGATCTACTCCCACTATAAAAAAAACTGGCAGTGATCTACCCATTGGATTGGATTGACCAAACTTGTTGAGCTTTTTTTAGGGAGCCAAAGTTTTGTGAGGGTTTTTTTTTGGGGGGGGGGATAGCTGAGGGTTCAAAGTTTGACCAGGATCGACCATGGACATCCCACGATCGACCAGTAGATCACAATCGACCTGCTGGACAGCCCTGCTATAGTCAAATGAAATCACAGGCAGGATTTGAGATAAAAGCAGCGGAAGAAAAATCATAAAATAATGGTGATGGAGACACTTTTTGTAATAACTAAAGATATAATATAGTAGAAAAGGTTCAAGTAAAAACACTGTGGAGGTGAGAAGTCAATTTATGAAACAACATAATTTTTTGATATGGAGATCATTGTGAAATGGTTTGACAAATTTAATAAAAATATATATATTGAAAAAAGAAAAAGACTGCAATCCTAGGCATACTTCCTGGAGAGTAACATCATGGAACTGAGTGCAATTTATTTCTAAGTAAAGTAATGCATATGTTCAGCTTATGCAACTCATATCTTCTTTTTTTAAAAGAAGCATGGCTCCATCTTTGAGTAGGTTTACCTCTCATGGTCCACCTCCCTGGGCTTTTTTCCTTTGCACAGTATGCTAGTTTCTGCACACAGTCCTCTCTCTCCTCCTTTCAGGCAAGCAAGATTCACTCTCAGGGTTCAAGGACACAAACACTTAATGAGGCTTCCAAGTTGGGACCACAGGAAGTTGACTTATTGATCCATCTAACTCAGACCATCCAACTAGCTCAGGGACTGGCAATGGTTCTCCAGGATTTTGGGTGCAGAGTCTCTCCCATCTCTACATGGAGATGCTGGGGATTGAACTTCAGACCTTCTCCGTGCGAAGCAGGTGTTCTACCACAGAGCTACAGCCCTTCCTCGCTGAGGGATGCAGCCTGGGGAGAAGGTGTGCAGCTGAGGTAAATTTGGGGCCTGGGGAAAGCCTTGAGCATCAGATGCAGAGGACCTCATTGGGCCAGTGCACCTGAAGTTCTCCATCCCTACTGTATGGTGTCGATTTCCCACTGGGAAGCATCTGATAGCAGCATGCAGCACCCTTAAGCAGCTGCACAGCACCTTGGAATTGACACCCATAGCCATGCTGACATCTGACATGTAGCCTCCATCTCAGGATGCAGGAAGTGACAAGCTGACATTTAAAAATGTCCCGCAATGCATTTTAGCAACAGGTATTCAGAAGCATGCCACCTCCAATGTTGCAGGGCATGGCACAAGTGACATGGGAGACATTTTCCCCCCTCTCATGATACTGGAACTCAGGATCATCCAGTGAAGCTGGAAATCGGAAGATTTGAGATCTGTGGAACTCACTTCCACAAGATGTGGTGATGGTCACCAACTTGGGTGGCTTTTAAAGAGGATTAGACAAATTCATGGAGGATAAGGCTATGAATGGCTACTAGGCTTCTGAATACTAGTTGCTGGAATTATAATTGGCGAGAGCACTGTTGTACTCAGGTTCTGTTCACAGGCTTCCCATTGGGGCAACTAGTTGGCCACCATGAGAACAGGACATAGGACTAGATGGGCCTTTGCTTGGTTTTGGCAGGGCTCCTCTTGAATTTTTCACTTCTCCAGATTGTGATACCTGTTATGTATTCAGTGGTCTCTGTTTGCCTGAGCTTGAGTCTGGACTAAGGATTCTGAGCCCCTGTGTTCTGATTCGATACATCACAGAACAATTCAGGATTTGGGCCTCTGCCATTGGCCCTTAAACTCTGAGTTATGATTCGAAGCTTGGGAGTTTAGATAGCCAATCACGTTGGGAGTGGGAGTGGCCCAGGCCTTCAGAAATGTATATAAGCAGTTGCTTTTCCCCTGTTGTCTAGTTCTGGAAGTTCAATAAAGGTTCTTGCTGTTATCATTGTGTCTTGCCTCATGGGAACCCACCTACACTTCAATACCATTCATATTTTCCAGTAATTTCTGTCTTTCTCACTAAGATGGAGTGAAGAACAGCTACCATTAACATTTCATCAACCCTCCCAAGTGGACATGCTAAGGACATTTAAAAAATCCTCAGGCACCAATTGCATCTTGGAACTGGCATAATATTCTGACAGATGTGAATTGTTGTGAGCAGATTGTTCTTTGAAACAACAGTTCCAAGAAACAAACTCTCTAATAGTGTAAAACTGTCTGGGAAAACACGCCAAGCTTTTCCGAACAGTGTTACCAAGTTTAACACATCCTGAAGTGGCTTATTAGTGGCCCCATTCAACCTTTTATATTTCCCAATAACAAGCCAACGTCTTCATCTTATCACATGGTGCGACAATTGACTGAGTCTAGGTAATGGAGCTGCCTGCGGGCTGCACAGTCTTATAGATTTTAATGACTCGTTAGGTACTTATTCACTTTTAACTTAAACAACTTGGCCATTTTGTAGAGAACGAACCTTTAAAACAGAATTAATGCTTTAAAAAAAAATGTAATTGAACCGCATAAGAGGCATTCCGCCAGTGGAATTCCATGTCTAAACCAGCAACTTTAATCTGGTTACCCCATTATTTGTTCTTTCCTCACTTTGCCCTGCCTGCACCTCTTGCAACTTTATCTACAGCTTAATGACCTTCTCAGGCTTCAAGGTTTATGTCAGTGGAATCTCTCTCTCTCTCTCTTTCTTTCTTTCTTTCTTTCTTTCTTTCTTTCTTTCTTTCTTTCTCCCCCCCCCTCAGAAAACAACAACAACATTTTTTGCTTTTTAATAAACATCCATGGACCTCAGTTTGATCATAGAAACTGACAGCCGCTTCTCTCCCCCTCTCCATCCACTTTTGGGCTGTACAGTGGTACCTCGGGTTAAGAACTTAATTCGTTCTGGAGGTCCATTCTTAACCTGAAACTATTCTTAACCTGAGGTACCACTTTAGCTAATGGGGCCTTCCGCTGCCACTGCGCTGCCGCTGTGCAATTTCTGTTCTCATCCTGAAGCAAAGTTCTTAACCCAAGGTACTATTTCTGGGTTAGCAGAGTCTGTAAGCTGAAGTGTCTGTAACCCAAGGTACCACTGTAAATATTTTCCTTCTTGTTATCTGACCCATGGGACCCAGAAGAATGCTCAAAACAAATTCATTTGAATTTCAGCTAGGTTGTGCCACCAATCAATTGCATTTTTTAATTTTTTTTATGGCTAAGGTAGTACAAAATGTGGGGTTGTGGTGGTGGCAAAAAACTACAAAGTATGTCACTCCTCCCCTTTTATTTTTTTTTGCTGCCCATGGCACCCAACTTGTGCTGGCACCCATGACATTTTATAAAGGTATGAGTACAGGCACTTGATATTCTTATTAACCCCCCCCCCCACTATGTATAATATATCTTGTGCTTTGATTCACAGGACCCCTAATGTAAAACTAATAGTTGTTTTTTAAAAAGCAAAATAGAGCATCAAAACCACAAACAATCACAAAGCCCATAAAGCTCAGGCCAGAAATCAATCAATGTTTCTTTTGTTGCCCAGGCAACAAAAAGAACTCAATTGACAGCATAACAAGGCAGGGCTGGCGCTAGTGAAAGGCATCACTGGGCACTTGCTGAGGCCAAAGCTCTGCAAAGGGCCTACTGCTGGCCTTGCCTTGGAATGAACCCCATTGTGAGACTTGGGCTGTACGCCCTGCCTCCAATTAAATATCTTTCTCTGTTCCGTAAAATGCCAAATGATTACGAGGAGCGGCTGATGCAATGGTGAGCTCCGAAATTAAATTTAGACACCATCAAAGCGGCTCGGAGAAGATTTGCTCATTTGTTGCCTATCCAAGTGATGTTTGCAGTACGTGAAAGGCAAAAACACACACACAAAAAACCCAGTTTCATTTTGGGAGTATCGTCTCCACTTAGCAAACACTTTATTAAGGAGACACATGCAAATAAGGGATCTTGTACCATCTCTTTAACATAGCAACGACCAGCCTCTATTTTAATCTAACATCTGACTGTCAATTCTAATTGCTAAGACGCGTTAAGGGTTGGCAAAGAGATTGAGAGCAACTCCCAAGAGTAACTTGACTCGAGTTAACCCAGAATGGATGATAATCATTGTCTATCTGTATGTGGTCTTGACGCCACATTACAGGATGAGAACAGTAGAAACAAGAGAAAGAGACTTTATTAAACCAAACTGTTATGGACGTCTTCTAATGTATAGTAAACATCTTTACAAGGAAGTTCCCCTTCCCTGTAGAAATTAATGCTTTATTATGGCAATTTAGCAAATTTTCTCTTTATTGGCCAGGCTGTTCTTAGGAACATCTCAGTTTCTTTATTCCTACCCATTTATGAGAGAGCTGCAGCTATAAACATCACCGGCTGAATACAAAGCTGGAAATTTCTTGATATTTCCAAGTTATTTTTTTATGATTCATGTACTGCTGTAATTTGGATGCTAATTTACCATTTACTGTTCAATTTGGCTTTGATTGAGTACAACCTTTCTCTTCCTGCTTCCAAGGGATCAGTGAGATCAGAGTATTGCTAGAGATGTAGGTATATGTTGCAATTCATTTTTTATATTTTAAGGGGAACAACGTGTTATATTTTTGGCTTTGGGGTATGTGTGTGAGAGAGAGCAAGAGAGATCCAGAGTGTGGCAGGGGAAATTATATGGTGGGAGTATGAAAAGCACAGTCTTTACATAACACAATTCTTTGTATCATACATCTTTGGAATGAATACGTGTGCATCTCTATAAATTTTTGTTTATGCTGAATTAAGAATATCAAATCCATTATGGAATGCAACTGAGTGAAGAACATCTGCATGCAAACACAAAACATCTGCATTATAACCTTTCCTTCCTGGGGATGTATTTCATTGGAGACCAATGGTTGTGGGTATTGGGTACGTTTTGCCCCATCATAGTAGATGGGAGAGTGCTGTTCTGCTCTGGTCCTGATTGTGGGCCTCCCATGGGCATTTGGTTGGCCACTGTGAGATCAGGATGTTGCACCAGATGTATCACTGACCTGATCCAGCAGGACTATTCTTATGTATACTATTACTGTCTCTATGAATGAATGACTCCTCCCCTAGCAAAGTCATTTGCTGGGGAACCTCCCCCCCCCCCCCAGATATTCCAATATCTTCAACAAGGAACATACTTTGCTCACTCCATGTTGCATCTCAGATTGTAACCCCTTTACTTTGTCCCACAGATCTTAATGAGAGCCATTGAGAACTAAGATGGCTCATTTATGTCAGGGATGAGGAACCTTCAGCCCACCCAGACGTTAGTGGGCTCCAACACCCATCAGCCCCAATCAGCATGGCCAATGTTTAGGGATTATGGGAGTTGTAGTCCAATACTATCTGGAGGGCCACATTCCATGTCCTTGCTATAAGCCCTTGATGGGGATTGAGGTTGAATTCACACCACACATTTAAAGCACATGAGTTCCCCCAAAGAATCATGGGAACTGTAGTTTGTTATGGGTGCTGGGAAGTGTAGCTCTGGGGAGTAAACTACAGTTCTCATGATTCCTGGGGGGGGGGAGTTGTGCTTTGTATGTATGGTGTATACTCAGCCTACGTCTCATTGAAGCAAGTCTTCTCGGTGGGGCTTATGACTGAGGAGATGTGCTTAGGAATACACTACAATAAGTCTTCATTTTATGTGTGGGTTTGATTCCAAGGGTTACACATATATGTGAAATGCCTTCATAGTCAAACCTTTGGAGATGCCCCACAGGTAGCAGGTGGCAGGGATAGTGAGGTGGAATCTACATACATATTTAAAAAACACTGTGAAAATGCTTTTTTAAAAAACGTTTTGAAAAATACATTGAATTTTGAATAGCTCACCATCGCCATCAAGTGTCACATTTGTATATTGCACTTTATAGCACATTTAAAATGTTTTATTTGCAGCTGTGTAGCTGAGTCCCTTCCTGCCAACCTAGCAGTTCGAAAACACGTCAAAGTGCAAGTAGATAAATAGGTACCGTTCCGGCGGGAAGGTAAACGTCATTTCCGTGCACTGCTCTGGTTCGCCAGAAGCGGCTTAGTCATGCTGGCCACATGACCTGGAAGCTGTACGCCGGCTCCCTCGACCAATAAAGCGAGATGATCGCCGCAACCCCAGAGTCGTCCGCGACTGGACCTAATGGTCAGGGGTCCCTTTACCTTTACCTAGCTGAGTCCCTAGAGCAGGGGTCAGCAAACTTTTTCCACTGTACCTCAGACTATATTTTGAAAAAAATACCCCCGACCCTTCTCCACAGCACCAGATGAGCCCTGGTGGCTGCTTACCTGTGCTTTGCTAGTGGCAGTGGCTGGCGGTGGCTGGCTGGCTGGCAGCGGGACAATGAGCGGTGTGATAGGGCTGGCTCCGGAGAGGGGCTGCTTAAAATGGCGCTCAGCCAACCGCGGCTCAACAAAGCCCAGCCCCCTTCCTCCTCTAGGCAGGGTGGGGAGAAGCCAGGAGGAGGGAGGGAGGAGGTGCTGCTGCCATGGTGTGTGTGTGGGGGGGGGAAATGGTGCAACCCGAACAATCAGAATCCCCACACCGATCCACGCAGCAATTCCTGGACCATCCATGGGCCGGATCCCAAAGGCAATTGGGCCAGATCCAGTCCCCAGCCTGTAGTTTGTCAACCCATGCCCTATAGCATCCTCAGCACTCCTCAAACTGGTGCACCAAGTGGGCCTTGTCCAGTAAGCAAGGC